AGACGAAATATAATTATCTATTCTCTTAACTTTTTGTATCCCTTCCCAAAATCATGCAAGGTAGTCAATATTTCGTATCGTTGCCTTCAAACGTTTACTCCCTCCTCGTGACTCTTTTTTTGCCCGCTCTCTATTGCCCTCTTTTACAAGCCCCGCTCTCTTAGCCTTATTCGGCGTTCCCTTCATAATCAATACGCCATACTCGATCCACTTGTAACCCATGTTACTCTATCAAATGACTCATTCGTGAAACAATCATTCATTTCTTATTTGTTTGGTTCACCATCTAACATCGTGCATGTAGTCCTGCGACACTATCATTCCTCGACCCTTGCATTCCCAACCTAGGAAGAATCGTGTATGTCGAAATAGTAATTGTACGACAGGGCACAATCACAATTTTGAGCTACGGAAACACGCTCAATCGCGCAAACGTCTTTTGGTGAGCTAGGCCAAAAACATATCCAAAACTATTGCAAACAATCAGCTGCAAAATGAGCTCTTAGTACTTTCATAACTTATTATTCAATCTTTTGAATAAATATTTCTGTTTTATATTAATCTCATTTTCAAATTAAAGGCCCCCGGAACTGTTTGATCGAGAGACAGATTGCCATGTACATCAATAACTACATGTGCCAACATTTAGCTATAGATTTGACAGTCCCTTAAAATCGCACACAATTTGACATATTCTTCACAAATGCTTATTACAACTTATAATGTCCTCTCTATCGTGAATACCTGCGTTGTTTTTCTCCTTCACGTCTTCTCTCTTCACCTAACGTTTCTCCGGCCGAGCACGACCTGAAAATCTGAAACGAAAGGAGTCGCGTAGGAGCAGCGAAGGGGCAGACAATAGCGGCGATTGCAGGAACGGACAGGCGAGCCGGAAAAAGGTACTACGGCAGAAGCAGCGCTGGAGTCTACGATTAGAGCAGAAAAGGGAGAAAGACTCCTGAGTGAGTGAAAGTACTCGTGGAGGGGAATATTAAACGGCAATGGTAGTAGCTGTGGGTTAACTGGAGAGCGTTGAAACTTTTAGAAAAGCCGGAGCAATGTGTACGCGATGATGCACAGATCTACGTTCGTGACAGAGTTGTTTAGGTAAACAAAAAGATGGTAATTGCGTAAGGGCCATCAGCAAGAACCGGCAGTCGAGAAAACTTCAACCAAGGACCAAAACGATGGCCAACGTACGGCAAGAGGCAGCATATGGGACGGACCGCTGGAAGAAGGGGGCTCCATCGATAGATCCATGGTGTTTGGAAGGGAAAAGACGAGAAAGAATGGAGTATGGCTGGTAGGAAACCGCTGCGTAGTGTCAGAGCTCAAGTAGTAGTGGAGAGAGATAATGAAGCGGAGACGAGTGGCGAGACGAAGGGCGAGAACGAGGGCGGAACGAGGGCGAGACGAGGGCGGAGACGAGGGCGAGACGAGGGCGAGACGAGGGCCGAGACGAGGCGAGAACGAGGGCGAGACGAGGGCGAGACGAGGGCGAGACGAGGGGCGAGACGAGGCGAGACGAAGGGCGAGACGAGGGCGAGACGAGGGCGAGACGAGGGCGAGACGAGGGCGAAGACGAAGGTGAGACGAAAGGCGAGACGAGGTGAGAACGTGGTCTAGACGACGGAGGCGAAGACAGCCCTGAAAGCAGTGCGCAGTCCTAAGATGGGATGGGGATATCGCATCGGCGTGCGTGGCCCCGGTGGCGGCGCGCGGTGTCTAGCGGGCGCAGTCCGGCGGTGGAGTGGCAGGTGTGGAGGTGGCGGATGGGGGGCGGGTTCCCACGAAGAGCCAGCTGGAGATGCCTGTTTCGGTGAGGAGAGAACTGTACGAGGTTGTGGTCTTCCAGAGACAGAACTTTTAATGGTTGGCGGGGTTTTGTAGGAACGTGAGCGACTCGGAGTCGAGGTGCTGGGATAGAAGGCAGTTCTAACCATCGGTCCTGTATCGTAGAAACTATGGAACGGTTCGGTGAGCGGGCGCGGGTGCAGCCGGGGGGGGCGGGACGCCGGCGGGGCGGGGCGGGAGAAGGGGGCGGGGCGGGGCGGCGGGGAGTGCGGAGGCCGGGCGTAATTCCCGTCAGAACCACAGGAGGACGTGAATCCGGCTGCCGGTGTTGGGCCTCAGCGCGCCACACGCCGCCCCGCAAGTCGCGCGACGCCGACGGGGCGCGCGCCGCAGCCTCTCGGGTCCGTCTCGGAGCCTCGCGTATTGTCTTCGAAAAACAAACATTTCAACCACTATCGTGTGCTTTATCAGGCGAAATTGCGATAAGTTTTACTTTTAATATCATCTGACATACATGTTTTGAATATTCACTCACTCAGCCTTGTACAAACCGTTTCTGTACTAACTTTGTGATGATCTCCCTCACCAATTTGATAGAATTTCTAGTAAAATACTTCATTAGAACCAAGTACTAAACCACGATGTTTTAGATGTTTAATCAGTCACCGTAAATCACTTGCTTGTTGGCTTTTCATAGAATCTAAGTCTCCTGAATACATTTCGTTGTTGACATCAAACTGATGAGGATGCTGTATCCTTCTTGCCAGGAGACTGAGAAAAACAGAAGCATAAAATACTGGCTCTCTTATTACAGAAGTTTAGGAAGAGAGACAAATATTTTTTAAAGAAATCCCGTTTTTTGTTATGGTTGTTGTTGTGACTTTAAGAAGATCAAAAATAAATGTTTGCGCTGAAGAGACTAATTTGTACTAATGTAATGGCAATACAATGTCTAAGGCTATCCCAGAAATGCTCATTGTAATCATCAGCACATAGTTTCAGTCCATGTCACGAAAGAGACAAAATAAAAAAGCTGATACAACAATTCCAAACGGGTCATATCAGAGTTAGGCTTCATTACATCTTTACTTCAATACTATTGACAGATTTAAAAAATATAATCTAAATAATAGTATTTTAATGTTAATAAAGATAACTAATAATACCTCTCTTCCTTGTCTCTCTAGATCAAATTATGTTTCTTTTTAATATTAAGGCTTAACTGAATAAATGAGCAATAGGGAAAATAAATCATTTCCGTGAAAAATAATAGGCTAGCTTTTTTGGAACTACTCATCCCTGTAGTAATAATGCAGAGGGAAGTAATGCAATATTTTTTTCCTGAATATTTGCATTAAATAAGAAAGTTCGTAGTGTTAAAGATACAATGCGCCGAAACTCCTTTATTGGCAATATCGTAGTAATTCTTCTTGTGTCCTATTGCGTTTTATTTGATATAGTAATTAATAATAATAACAATACAATAACAATAATAATAACAATAACAATAACAAAAATAACTAAAATAATAAAGCGAAGTGGCTCAGTGGCGGCTGCGCCACTGACTTCGCAGGTCGGGGACGACCGGGTTCAATCTCCGGACCCGGCCATCTTACCGGGGTTTTCGTGGTTTCCTCGGTCATACGGCGAATGCAAGGATGGTTCCAAAAGGTCTCCATCACCATCTCACCATCATCATCATATCACCTCATTATTCTTAATTCAAGGCTTAACAACTCTCTCCAGGATAGAATATGACTGGGTCTCTGTAATAGCATGTGTAGCGTGGTTAGTAGGCATAGTTTTTAAAATCTATGTCGGAGTGAAACGTGCCTACACCTTTCGTTCCAGCTTATACTCGTCTCTCAGTCCATTCGCCTTATTAAAACCACCAGCCTCACTGATTACTCGTGTCTTTCTCTTTCCTGGTGATGCGGCATTCCGCAGTTGCTGATAAAAGGACTGACACCGGCCACGTCTCCCACCCTCTCTATGTAGGAGTCTCCACTATCACCATCACTGGCGTCTTTCATCACTGCAAGTAGCATTCCTCTTACAGCCGCCCGCTGCCACCACCACCAATCAAACCGCCTTTTCCACGTCTCTGCCTCCACTATTCGTTCTACCAAACCCGCGCTTCCTCTACCTCCGCCAATGCCAATGTCATCGTCGACGTACAAATTATCGTCCTTCTCCACTTCCAACATTATGAAACCGGTACCCCCTAAGCTTATGGGCCATTGTGGAAGTAGGGTGAATGATGCTAATTGGATTGATTAAGTGACTTTGGCGCGTAGCTGTTAAGGCCATTCGTCCACGTAAGGTAGAGATTTTTTATCGCGGGAATATGGTGGGTGATCTCTGCTGGATGGCGCGAATTCCGGCGCCAGGCAACCGTCGGCTCGGGGGTTTTCCCTCAGCAGATATCTCCCACGCAGAGGGGCATTGTCCGAGCCCGGACAAGCTCTTATACTCCCAGACTGGTCGTTCGGCATGTGTAGGGCATGTAATGTGTTTGTAAGAAGGGGTGAGTATAGGACAAGGAAGGGAACGAAAGATCGCGCGCGGTCCGTGTCTCGTTCGAGAAAACGCTCCAACATGCACCTGTAAGTTCGAGAAACCAACGGACCTACGACTGATTCGGCCTAGCTAGTATCGAAATGCGTGCCACCGTCGGACTTGAACATTAGAACTTCCCAAGTACCTCAGAGGTAACTGATATTGATGTTGGGTGATGATTATGAACGATATGATATGATCAATCAGCGAATGAGGGTCAGGGAGAATCAGAACAATTTTCCCTTCGGTCTCCCTCCCACGCCATCCTCTGGCCCCACTAATACACCCTCTACTTCCGTCGCCATCTCATTCCGCTCTTTTTCTCCGCGCCATGCCCCCACGAAACTCATCCCCGATCCTCTTTGGACCATCTCACCATGAACGACGACATTCGCACTTCTAGCGGTGGAAGTGAGAACTCAGACCGCTACAAGACGAGTTCGCCCGTCTCTCATGTCCGTAGCATTCTCCATCTCCACAGTAATACTGATATTCGCATTTCCCGCATGCGCCTTTTTTCCTCCTGCACTCGTCCCACTGGCCGGCCTTCTCCCCTCAACGCCATTCGATCTCGTTCGCCTCTCTGCACCGCCTCGTCTCCCGCCTCACTGGACCTCGCCGCCGCGCCGCCATTCGCACGCCTCCGCTCACGTGTCGCCATCTCCGCGCACCGCCATCTCCTTCTCGTCTCCGCTCGCCTCTGACATCACATCGCTTCGGCCGCCACTGGCGCCCTCTTCCTCACCCGCCGCCATAGTCCGCTGCCAACCTCCAACCAGCTGGCGCCGTGGCGTCTGCGCGGGCTCTTGGCGGGGCGAGCCGTCGCGCGGTCCGAGAGACGCTCCGCTAGCGGCGTATTGTACGCGCTTGTAGTAGGAACGGTTTGGGGCTCCCGGAGGCCGGAAACCCGCGCACCGGCTCGCGCCTAGCCCTGCCCTCACCACCCTCCCCTCCCCTCCCCTCCCTCCCCCTTCCTCCTCCCCCGCCACCGCTCACCGTCCGTCCGTCGCAGACTCCTCCGCTGCAGCGCCTGCCTGCTATCTCCGATCCACAGACCAAATCATTTAGACCCAGACGCGTATTCCGTCGGTTGTAAAGACCACTTTTATGCTTCTCGCCAGAGAGTTTTAAATCCGATTTCATCTGCATGAAGCCATACCAATTATGACCCATCGTATTTCACGAGTAAGAAATGATATGGACAACTACGTAAAACATTGTTTTCATTATTACTTAAAAGTAAAATGTTAATTCTACGAATAAAATGTTGGTATTCCCGAAAACTAGGAGTGTTCAGAAAAGAAATCCGTCAAATCGAACGGACGACTTGTCGCGCAAACCACACTGAATGACACTACAACAAACTACTTCAGGACCAATGAACATTCCAATGCAGCGAACGGGAGCTTCAAATGATATGAAAACCTCTCTTTGGACATAAATTAACGAAAAAAATAAACATTTAAACACGCAAAACAATATAATGTAAGATCTGAGCGAGAACTGCAGTAATAAACATCTCATACCCAGGCGCTGCCAGCGACAGCTAGTTGATCACAGCGCGAAGTCTGGTCCCGTTACGCTGGGTGCAAATTAATCGCAGTCGAATAGGATCAAGAGGCGAGGTCGTGCAAACGGAAAGTGTATATCTGATGCCGCAGAAGCAACTTTCTGTACACGGAACGACGCAACCATCAGGAGAAGGAGGGGGGGTTGCGCGAAACGCTGGGCATTTTCTTCGGCAAGACACTACTTTGTCTAGCCGCGCACGCGCGCGCTCGCGCGAACATTCTAGATAGGCGCACAGCCTTGGCGGCGAGCGTCATTTCTTCACGTCACCGTCGTTGCCTGCAGTCGCGTAATACCCGGGCGAGGTCGACGTTTACACGATTACTACCTCCTGATAGGTTGTACCTTTGCGTTGGCTTTACAATCCGGGAGCAGGAGATCTACGCCTTGCGAGGGGTACTTAGATTATATGCTATAAACTTTGATTCACTACTTTTTTTGATAAAGGTTTGAGACTACATTTATTTTTTATGCTTTATGATATTACATAATAACTTATGAAATTTCATAATATTTCATTTAATATCCTTGATAAATTTCACAGTGTTTAAACATCAGTGTTTGGAGTTCAACTATCCGTCAGAAACGCTTTAGACAAACGGATGGTGTTAAAAGGTTTGCTCAAAAGAGGATAATGGATAAACTACTGGCTTTTGAACAAAATTATCTTCCTAAATCGTGAGTTGAGAGTGAATTAATTAATGGAAATATCATCATCATCATGGCTTGGGCGTATTGACCTGTTCGTCTTCAAGAGTATTCTTTCATCGCCTTATAGCTCTGCCCCTACTTCTCCTCCCGTTCGGGTTGTAGTTGTGGAAGATTTTTGGCATTCGATCTTCGGGCATTCTCATTTCATAATCATGCCAATTCTTTCTTAATATGTCTATTTTTTTAGTTAGGTTGAATATCTTTAATTCGTCTCTAATGGCCAAGATCCTTTTATGATTCAGTATTGAATAGGTCTAAGAAATCTCATTTCCGAGGCTTCTATTTTTCTCTTATCATACACTTCTCATACACTCATAGGTTATCATTGGAACTGCCATTGTTTTGTAATTTGAATCCCTATACGTGCTTTCTGTCTATTCTTCCGTATAATTCCGCACATTAACTGAAATTTCTGAATTTTTATATTAATATCATTCTTTTGCCAGTTATGAAAAATTTGAACCTATGTAAATGAAGTTATTTACTTTTTCAGCGCCGTTTCAATTAATTACTATTTTAAACCTTCAATATTTGTACTCAGGAATACCGTGGCTTTCGTTTTCTTTGATGAAATTTGTAGGTTATAGCCGAGAAATTTAAAGGTTCCAGGGAATATCCGGTGTGATAATGGAAATGTTTACTTCTTAAATATTGACTAATACTAAAATTAAAGGAATATGACAGCATATTTGCACTGCGGCTCTCTGCCTTATAATGTGACAATGTCTACAAAATTTAAAATTAGTACTCCAAGATAAAAGTCTTCTATAAGAATTCGGCAATTAATATCTTTATCTGATGTTTGCGACTAAAATTTTTGATGATTAAACATGTGAATATGAAAGATATGAAAGATAAAAAAATATAATAAAAACTTACGAAAACGTATGTTATGTGCCCATTTTATCGTTACACGGTGTTAAACCTACATGGCATTGACCATAACCGCCACTTCATCTTGTGTCCTTATAAGAAAACATGATACGGATCACTTTCGTGTCATAAATAAGCAGCTCTCTTCGAAACTGTCTCAAAGTGTTTGAGTTAAATCTCAATTAACTCAGTCTTATCTTGATGTTGTGCATATCCACTATTATTAACGAAATCTTCGTAATATGTGGGGGGAAATTGAGATAAACAGAAAATGTCTTTATAATGAAGTTTTAGTGTTCCCATGAGAGAATTCCATAACCAAACGTAAGGCAGAGGGGACGGCCGCAAATAGCCTACCCAAGATAAAGAGCTTACAAATTTCTAAAAACATGAACAACTTAGAGATCCTCACAGTGAACCGTTTTCAATCAGAATTCCTTTAACTCCATCACCGCGTAGCGTGGGCCGGTAGCGCTCACCATCTGCCGCTGCTAAGTAGATGCTCACGCCCACCCCCGTAACACAGGGTGTGGAAGCCACAATAAATGATAATGATAAGTCCACATTTTCTCCTGATATACATCGCGGAGGAGGTTATTTCCGGAAGAAGAGGCCTTGGGCAGGAGTTTCCTTTCATCCCTTGCTAACAACTCACAACAGGTTGACTCGTCCAACAAAAGGGCAGGCCTTTTAACTTCTCCAGACGACCCCGGGGCGGGGGCGGGCAGCTGCGAAATGTGGCAACACAGCGTCGGAGGGGGAGGTGGGGGGTTAGACCTGACCCAAACCAGAACACTTTCAAAACAGCAGTTAAAACCCCCGCAGCCTGTAAAAACCGGGCCTGTTTGCCCAGAGGGTTTTTTTTCCTGCGGGGTGATAACCGGGGGGGGGTCTGCTGCTAGGCTTTTTTTTGGGCCGCCCCCTTCCCGGCCGGCCGGCGGGCCGGGCCGGTTTTTTTCCGGCTTCTCCCGCACGGGGACCGGGCCCCCGTGTCGGGACCCAAGGGGGGCGGGAGGGGTCGGTAGGGAAGAGGGCGGTTCGGTGGGGGGGGGGGGCTGCGAGGGTGCACGTCTCGACAGGTGGACGCCGCGGCGCCGCGAGGGGGACACGTGAGGGGACGGGGCCCCCTCTTGTGCGTCTCGGCGCGCACCTGCACGACGCATGCGAAATCTCGTAATCCCGAGGGGGCCGGCGCGGCGTCGCCGTCGGGAGAGAAAGGGTGTAAGGGAATCCGAGGGGTGCGGAGGGTGTGGCGCACCTGCAGCTCTCCGCGGTCTAAGGATTCGTTCCGGGGAGAGGCCCTAGACAACCTGAGCGGCCGCCGTCATTTAATATCCTCTCAACCGATAACGCCACCAGGCAGCGTCCACGACTTGAAGAGAAATGATACGAGTAGTACCTGAAGGCATTACGGAGCGTTAAGTAGCATATTAATATTGGTTTTCAGAGCACTGGTGATTCCTAATATATACTATAGCACAGAATTCGAAATCGCAACCATTGCAACCATTGATGACACGGCAGTGCCTCGCACTGATATCCTAGGTTCGAGTCCTGACGGGGGCAGGAATTTCGACACTTGCTAGAGAACTACGTCGAATTCAGCCACTGCCTGGAGAAGAATTCTAGTGGTCGGCTGCTTTGATCGGTAGCTTTCCGTTTAGGTTTCTCCGATCAACGCCAGACGAATGCCGAAGCAGAAACACACAATAAACACTGAAACGCACAAAAACCTGGACGGTCCCGTCATTTAATATCCTCTCAACCAATAAGCCCATCAGACAGCGTCCGGAAATTGAAGAGAAATGATAATTACTCAAGGATTATGGAGCTTCGAGAAGCATATTAATGTTGGTTTTCACTAGATTGCTGTTTACCAACACACACAATATCACATAGTTCGAATTCTCCAGAAACTAGATAAGAAAAAATGGCGAAATGGGTGCACGATATTCATTTATCTCTTTTGTTTATTGTCTAGTTCTGGTTGACGAGGCGGTTTATCAACAATTGGAAGGATTCTACGGGTGTTACAAGCACAGAAAAATGATCCTAAAATATCGTATGTAATCTTTCATTATGTAGTTACCATACTGCTGCACCTTCATATTTTTTACATGATTGTCAATGTTTGAAATCACCAAATGAATGTTTGAAATCATCAAATATGTTTACGTTTAATAAGAGTTTGCACAAAGATGCAAAAAAACGCATGTGTTGGCTGTTACTATGTTTAAATAGCCTATCAGCTTCATTTTTGCATCAACAGGAGCTCGTATTTTTTTCGTTTTGTGGATACTTGCTCTCTTTCTTTTTCATTGTCTGAGGGATACTGAGATGGTACATGTACGTTCCATTTCTATTACTCCCATACACGCGAATTAATGAAAAAATGTTTTCAATATCCTTGCCACTAATAAAAATATGAAATATATTAAATTATATCAATCGGCAAATCCAATTTAAATAGTTTTAAAATTTCGTATTAATTTAAAGAAAATGTAGAAAATTAAATAAAGTTTCTATAACCTTATGTGTTTGAAGTCAACTTAGCCATGGCGCCAATTTCTGTATAATAAAGAGCAACGAATGAGCCTATCAAAAACAAAAACTTGAATATTTCTCATATCATTTCATACTTCTCATGCCATGTCACGTAACGTAACTTTTTGGATACTAACCGGTATATCCGTAGCTTCGTTATTCAACCCATTGTAAGGGTGGCTGGTAACAAAGCAGAAAAGAACCCACAATGCACCCGAGCTCAATACGGCCACCTTCTCAGGCCTTGAGAGCCAGATCGTTTGACCAGAAGCAGGCTTTCTCCGCGGCCCCGTCACTTCGCCCCGGACCCGCCCCTGAAGACCCATCCGCTTGGAAAACAAACTGCACCGGGCGCCTGAGCGACGCGACGCAAAGCGACCCGACGCGTCGGAGGCGGGTGACGGCCGAAACCGACCAAGCGCAGGGCCAGCCACAATGCGAGCCCAACCGTCCCTGGGTCAGTCTCTGCGCAGCGAGGGACAGCCAGACACCCTTGCGGGGTGCCCCAAGGATGCTTAGGTGGCGAGCGTTCTCAACTAATGGTTACTTTCTCACACGCGTATTGAAAAGGGTTCAGTGCTTGGAAGGGGAAGTGCGAAGTCTACAAATGTGTCTAAACGCCCAAGCATTTTTCTTGTTTCCAGGCTTAATAGGCAATTCTCTTAGCGTTGTCTGATGCCTAAACTTAAAAAAAGATCGTTTATTAAATTTGAAGAGTCATGCTGTTCTAACGGACATCTCACAACGTTGTCACGGTTTCCATTTTCAATAACGTCAGTAGTTTTGACGGTCGAAATGCAACAGCGGCCAAGTCACTCGTAAGATATGTCAATTAATAGTTTCACAGTCACGAGGAGAGAAATATTCAAATCATTTCAAATACTGAGTATTGTTTTAGAAGTGAATATAAAGATCAATCACGAAAATAAAATAAAATTATCATATCGATACACTAAAAAGTGTGTATATGCTAAACTTCCGAAATATTTCATTGGATTATAGCAATTATAAAATTATTCAGTGACTTTGATCTATTTCAGTCAGTTTTACGTCCAATTTCCGTTGATCCACTGATAAAATGCATAAATAATACTCTCTTTTTCTTCTGCTAATAAAATGTACAAATTTTTTGTCCCCTTCTAATATATTTTTTAGACATTTAGGCCAAGTAAATAAATGTCCTACCTTAGATTGTTGGATGCACTTACAGCGACGTGGGTAAATCAAAAGACCTGAAAAAAAACCATAAAAAGTTAATTTAGTCAAGAACTTAACTTAAATAAAATAAATTTAAATTAAGTATATTAACCTATGAATTCTGAGTACATAAACATAATATGAAATGTTAATTGACTTGGAGGCAAGAGAAAAGAAAATTAATACCGTAGAAACTAATATGAACACACTAAATCATTGATCGTGGAACTCATCGTCAAAATATCCAATATAAATATTTATATTTACGTAAATAGACAATTCAAAGACATAATTAGTCAATGAATATACTCCGTAAGATATAATGATTCTACCAATAGTGGTTTAGTCCGAGATAATATTTTCATGGTGAGTTAATGCATTCGTGTCACGTATTGGTTTTTGGTTTCAATTACCACAAGAAAAAATGAACTTTGGGATAATTGTGACCCCCGAATCATAAAAATATTGATTGGTAAATTTTCTGGAATTCGTATACTCTCCCTTCTATCTTTTAAGGGCGTTCCCTGTGAACCCATTGTTACGAAGTGACCAACATTATCTGTTTTTTATACACATTTTCATCTGCATGTAAAGGCGTAGTGATTTATAAATTTTAACACTAAAACACACACTACGGCCAAAAGCCCTAGGATGTTTTGTCGCCGCTCGATCATTAGAACCATTTACCTAAATTTATTTATTCCGATTTACTTATTTAATAATTAACTAGATGTTAACTTGGCTTGGTTTCTCTTTTCATATTTCCCTCCCATGATTCCCTCTCCTCATTATCTCCGTAAGGAAACTTGTATCATCATTCAACTGTTTTCGTATTTCCCTCGTATCCACGGTCCACTCGATCCAGGTAAGTTATGACGCGTACATCGAACACTGTATCGAAGGCAATAACAAGCTATAACGTACGAGTAAAAAATAATATATATTTATATGGATAAAAATGATAAGTACTTTGATTTCAGGAGAAATGTTCTACGCGCCCGTTCCTTTCGGTTAGGTTTTACAGAAAATTCATCCGTCGTTTAATTCAAATAATTTTCCTCCTGCTGGTCTGGAAGGTGGAAATATCGCTGTTGTACGAGCGTTAGGTGTCGGGGCCGTGGGAAGAAGGGAAGGCAGGAGGCGCAGTAAATCAAGGGTGAGTACAGACGCCGTCCGCTCACGCACTCACGACACTCCTGTCGCCGGCAGCCCTCCACTTCCACTCTGCCCTCCATTCCACCATCACATCCTCCCTCGCCTTTACCCAACGCCTTCAGCCCTTCCCCTCAGCCTTTCGCCCATACTCTCACCCTCCATTGCCTCCAACACGAATTCCTCTACTCTGCCTTCCGCTTTCGTTCACACATACACCCTGCAATCGTATCTACCTCCATCCACACCCTCACCCTGCCCGCACCACCACTCTCGCTCCCATACAGCCAACGCTTCATTATTTCACCTTGTCTTCATCTCCACCTCACCACCGCCTCCACCTCACCACCGCCTCCACCTCACCACCGCCTCCACCTCACCTCAGCCTCCGCCTCCACCACCAATTCCACCTCCACCTCAACGCCTACGTCTCTGGACATGCCTCCACCCTGCCTTCCGCTTTCGCTCACGTATCCACCCCGCCGTTGTCTCCTCCCTCTCCTCCTTCCACGCCCCCTTGTTTCCCGCTTTCGCGTACGACCTCGCCCTGCCCTCGCCTCCACAACCTCCACACCCCCTCTCTGCCGTCGTCTCCTCCTGTCCACGCTTGCACCTTCGTACACGCATTCACCCTGCCCCGCGCTTCCACCCCGCCCAAGCCGTCTACTGCCTCCTACACCCACGATACCTCTCACGGGTACGTCCCCGTCACCTACACCGCCTTCGCCTCGGCCACGTCCGCCGTCGCCTCCACCGCCGCCGCCACCGCCTTTCGGATTGCCGCCGCTCCCGTCGTCGCTCCGCCGCCCCCAGAGAGGCGTCGCGGTGGGCCCCGACTAGAATCCGTAACTGCCTCACGTCGCGAGCAGTAAACCTGTTGAATCTCTTTGTTGATTCCTAAACGCCAGGAGGCGCTCCCGTGATTTGTGCCAGTGTCTGCCGGAACGTCACGCGTCGCCATGAAACATGAAAAATTGGTTTCCACGCTTGGACATTAATTTGAATTTCTCTTAGTGTCTCCCTCACAAAACGCAGGGCTGCCCTTCGCCTCCTCACCGTTCCCTTCTGAGCAGCTATAATTAATAATAAGCGTTTCCTTTAGGGGGAGTTCAACACAGTAGAGCTGGCCCCTTTACCTCGCAGTTTAGAATCTTTGTATCTTTCTTCAAATCACGAACAGGTCGATAATTTCCTCATTATTAATTCATAGCCCCACAAAAAATAGAGCTAACTCAAATATATACTTAGGAATAACATAGAACCTTGTGGGTGTTCCACTATTGAAGTAGAACACGGATTTTTTTACATTTGCATTCCAGATTTTTCTCTTATGATAAATGTTTAGGTCAATTTGGTGATCTGCCGTAAATCATTCAAAAATAAGAACAAATAATTAAAGATTAAACAATTCCGTAAAGACATCAACAATAATGAAGAAACTGTGAGCACCCCTTATTTCCATTTCATATCATTATTAATTTAATATAATTATATTATTATTATTATTATTATTATTATTATTATTATTATTATTATTATTATTGTCTTGTATGTGAAAAATACCTCTGTAAAGCAAAATGAATGGTCGGATGAAATAAGTTAATAAAATCAAAACAAAAAAAAGGCGCAATACATAATGAATTACGTTAATCTACGTGCGGAAGGAGAGAAAATGTTCACGAAGAGAGCGCTATTGACGTAGCGTCTTTGTACCTTGAATACGCAAATTTATTCATTAATGAGCGTACACTGCGAAAGGAAATTATTATCACCCAATATTTTGATTTCCTCTTTCACAAAAGGTAATTTATAACACGTCAATTACAGGATTTCAAATTTTATAGACAATTAATAACGTAATGTTAACATTAAATCAGATCTTTTGGTTGTTCTAATAAACTTATAGTATATACTGAATTAAAATTTACATTAAAAGTGTCACCTAAAGAAGAAATGTGTTACTCAAATGACGCCAAAGAATGTCTGATTAACCAACATTGCTCCCTGTGAAGTTGCTACAAACTTTTTTTTCAGCAGCCGATAACGTATATTGTTATATATGTTATTAAATTTAATGTAGATTAATGTAAACGGAACAAAATTTAACTTGTGCATTACAATGAGTGTAATATATTTGTACATTAAATTTAATGCTTAATTAAATTCAATGTAGATTTAATGTAAAAGTTTTCCCGTTTTCACTGCCTCTCATCATTCATATCATAAATTCATAATCACCAGTCCATCAAGATCATTCATTCATTTATTCCAGATATGACTATAAAGCTTTGACTTTTTCATTCTAATGCACATGTCTACTTTAAATTTAATGTGCTTACATGATAATTACTTTTATGCACATTTACATTAAAGTAACGCAGAAGTTTCTGACAGTGAAGAAGCTAAAGCACCCCATCCGTAAGTATCGTTGCTCATCTTAACACATTCCAAGAGGAGTACTTATTTTTTTCTTTTCTGTACCCCTGAGAATTTATTTACGTATCAGTATACATTTGAGCCACTGCCTTGTGGCTTAAGCAGCTAGAGAGGGAGCTTTGTTGTGTTCTATAACTATGAAAAGGTTAACTTAATTTAATTCTGCAGTTAAAAATACATACACTTTGGGAAGCCTATTTTACAAATAATAATATTTTTTATTTTAATCTTAAATTTTGGAGATGTTTTTTATGATAATCCAGATTTTTTGACTATTGTTTGAAGAATATTGTTGCCCAGACATTTTTATAAAAAAAAGACGTGATGAACATTGATGCCAATAATTTATTATAATAAGCCCTATTAATATAATTCATTATAGGTATCCCTCAATTGTACCATTCAAAATCGGAAAACAAAGTCCTCACCACAAGAAACTAAAGCGGAAACTATCGCGACAGTTCTTCGACCCTCCCTGATCATCATGTACCTGGTACATTTGATCCATGTACCTTCGCACATTTAATCCTCAAACATTTATTGAATCTACTTAGCGTGTGCATATATTCAATGTATTCAACTATTAAATTCCCCCCCCCCTAAACAATGTTAACATTATTTAATGTCCTCTCAATGCATCGTACTCGGTCGCTTAGAGCCTTCAGGTCTATCAGTTATAAATTTAAAAATAGAAGTGAAGAGAATTGTTGCCAAGATATTATTACAGGAAAGCGAGCAGTTCGAAGAGCTGATAGTGGCGGGCAGTGACCTGCAGAGAGGTGGCCGGCAGTCCTCCGACGCCCGCGGGCCCGGGCGGCGCGCCGGCGCGGGCCATCCCAACACCTCGTCCGCATAAATTACGCGCTTTACGGCGGCGTAAACCGCGTTGCCATGCGTGTCACGCACCCCGCGGCGCCGCGCCGCACACACCCTACGCAAACAGCCCCACGCGTCTCCCACGAAAAACATGCGGGGTCGGCGGGGGCGGCATGACGCATTGAACACTCGAATCACTTGTTCTGAACATAACTAGGATCCGTGCCCAAGGCTCGTAACTTTCGAAAATTCTCCGCGACATGTCCTTGTTGAGATGTTGGCTAGCTAGTCTCAAAGTACTTTGCAAGAGGATTAAAATTAAATGCTAGATTATTTACTTGTTGGCAAAGTTCCTGTGACTATTGCCACATCCGGCGTCTCAACATTCACCTTCATCTCTCCAATCATCCCGAACCAGGCTTCTCATCGGAATTACTCTTTCTATACTTCGTTATGTGAGTGACCGTTTGGTCATTAGGCCACTTCTTATACTACTTTTTGAAGTGTCGATTTCTCAAATTGCACAGTCCAATAAGTAAACAACATCCTCTCCTTGTAAGTAATCAATTTATATAACAAGTACACGAACAACAAACCAGTTCTGATGCCATATGAATTAAATTTATGATTTTAAATAATAATAATATTAAAAGAAAGATTTTCTCTTTTCTAATTATTATTTTTCGGCAATCATATTAATTACCGTATTTTATACCCACGTCATCTTGATCATACAGTTTTACAGAAAAAGTTTTAATTTTTTGAATCATTCAGTTACAATTCTCACAGAAAAAATAAAAAAAATAGGTGCTACAACAGCATGTACTATCTCGTATTCGTTACTTATATAATATTATATGCAGTATTTACTGTCCATATAAACACATTTCAGCAAACACTTGTATATCTCGAATTTACAATTTTGAAGATAACATGAAGATTGTAATTACTCGAAACTACTCACATTAAGAACATATAGCTAATGACATTAAAAGTTCTACTTCCGAAGTACAGGTTTCATAGAGTAAAAATGTTAAAGAATTAAGGAAACAAATTACGGTTTTGTGGTCATTATTGGTAACACTACGATTTTGTTAGTAAAGCTTACGGGTCGATGCCTCACAGTGGGATATACACCGGGGAAGGAGGGGGGGGAACACCGTAAGTGGACTTTATTATTTGATTAGTGATTCTGAGCGCGTCAACGGCTAAGGTCGTTAGCCTCGTAAGTGCAGTGCATGTTTTTGCTCGGGGGATGGCGTTGGTCTTCCCCCGCTGGATGGCGAGATCCGGCGCTGCCCTTCGTCCACTTGCAGGGATTTTCCCTCACCAGGTACCTCCGACAAGCGGGCCACCACTCCAGCAGGGCAAGCTCTAAGCTCCCGAAGGGACTCCCGGCATGACTGGTAATGCGAGTAAATTTATCTAAGTAACGGGCGAGGATAGCGTAAGGAAGAGGCAGGAAAGATCGCGCATGGTATTTGCCTCGTTTCTTAGGTTACTTCTTCGATATTCGCCTGGTGTTGATTGAAGCAATAAAGGAAAACTACCGATCAGAGCAGCCGACCGCTAGAATCCTCATTTGGACAGCGCCTGAATTCAACCTAGCTGTCCAGCTAGTGTCGAAAATTCTGGCACCGTCGGGGCTCGAACCCTAGGTTCACCCGGACAGAGGCACTGCAGTGACATCAGTTGATGAAGTCAACTTGTACGTCATCGCCTGGTCCCATTTTTCAGCAATGAAGGGTCACTACCACCTCCCGTCACAATCAAGCAGTAAACTCAAGGGCCTTCTGACAAAAGTAGTTAACGCGTTGTGAAACGCCATATACCCATTCTTCACGACGGCTCTAAATATCCACACTCCATTCTAAATTGTAATGTCTTAATGCGCACTAGAGTATTTCTGAACAGAGTTTGCGAAGGATGTTTTTAACATGGCTCAAAATTTGACATAGATCCCACTTATAGAAGTATCACGGCGTTCTAGTACACTCGAATTTTAAATATCTAAACACCAAGACTGATTTCAACAAACAATTAACATTTAAGTAATACTTAATAGCTTGATTCTCTTGAGTACTAATTTCAGAAGTGGTTTTACTGTTATCTAAATTTAACACACATTGAAACAGCAAGTTTTGCCTAGTTGAATTTGACATACTAGTACCATATCACACCATACAAGTTATATCATGTTTAATAAATTCGAGGGTGAATGAAATAAAAACAACCATCTCATTTTCCAGTGCCGTTTATTGAAAATTTTTTCATATTTATTTTATTTATTTTTAATAACACGAGGTCTTGCTGTTTGCTCATTTAAAAAGAAATTGTTTGCCAAGGAAAGCGAAGTTATATTTTACTTGGGTCGACAAGCCAAGCACGACCCCCACATTAGACTTTTAGATGTAGCATTAGCTTCCTCAAAGTGTCGCCCGCCGCACCGACCGTGGCAGGAACTCTAAAGGTACCACAAATGACAGGCGACGCGGAGTTCCTGTTTTGACAGCACGTGGTGAACTGTGGCGCATGTATGGCGCGTGCCACTTATTTCCGGTTGGAGAATAATCAAGAAAGAGTAAGGAGTGGAAATACACGAGAGTGTCAAGTCAGAACAGGTGTCAGGTGTCACGGCTCTTACAGAAAAATATACGAAGTTCACATCGTAAGCAATTATTTGTATCGTATTCGCAAATAAAATATTCTGAATCGTTATCGATATGTCGCTAACATGCACCATACGGGCCTAATTGTAGGTATCCGAAGGTCAGAGAAATGAAGTCTGCAAAGGGAACAAGGAAACATGAATATTTCAAACGAATTCAGAAAAGAATAGGCCAACGAATAAATAAAATGATTGGTAGGAAAAATGCGCAACACAAGAAATTTATATAAAAAGCCAACTATTACTTAAGTAGTTGTCCCAAAATCAACACACACGTACACACACACACACACACAAAAACTTTTATGCACATTGCCATGCAGTTCAGAAAATGTTTAAAATGGTTAAAATGAAGCAATCTGCTCACATTACATTAAAATATTTTATTTACGGAAAGAAAAGTGATATGAATTATAAACGAAGGCTAATTTTTATTTTATCGTACAAAAATCAATATCACGTCATCCACCACTGAGATCGGAGCCATAATGGAGAGAGAAATTTGAACCAATTTAGGACAGTGATTAATTTCAAAAACGTAATTCTCTAGAGATCGTCATGTTTACTTTCGTTATGAAAACGACGCAAGGATCTTCACTAAAAATTATTATTTAAACCATTTCTCATTTCCATGACTTTCTTTAGTTTGTACTATGGTTAAAATAAATTATCAGTAAGCTTTTCCTCTCAGGTATAAGAGAGACTTCACTAAGAGGACAAAAAATACCGTCTTAACCAACACATATATATTTCGTATTAATAATATATTATAAATCCAAATTGCAGGGTTCTACAATGTGTGTTATATTGTAATAATCAGATTACATTTTTACATTAATACAAAAATAGACAATTTCATTCTTTGGAACTGTACGCTACATTGCTACTGTTGTTTGTGTAATGTAGTTTTAGTACTCCTAGTAATATACACAACCCCACACAATCTAGAATCCAAACAAGAAATTTATTAGGATATTCGAGCCAGTGTGGACTTCAAACTACTTTACGTTGGATGAGGACGATCCTCGCGCCCACTCATCGCTTGGGGTGAGTTTCGTGACCTGCAGAGGACGTCGCGCTTTCCCATTGTGGGGCGAACACCGCCGCCACAACGCGACGCCGGGAGATGAACGATGGCGGCGGCGTCTTCTGTCGGGAGCGACACAGACCCAGTGGTCACGCGGCGGGGGCGGCCGCTTTGAAAAAAGGACCCCCCTCCCCCCACAGGCGGAGCGGCGCCTGAAAGACGGCGGAAACAAGAGGGCGGCGCGTGCTGCGCGGCGGCGCTGCCTCAAAGACGGACGCGCGCGCGCAGTGGGGCCAACGGCGGGACGACGTGGGGCGAACTCTCGCTCGCGACGTTTACAGACTCAGATGACTCAGGGGAAACCGCTGGTGCCTGTGCAACGACTCGATCCCCGTCCCCGTACGGGGGGAAGGAATGGTTATGTATATAATGAAACTAGTATGAATGGAGTGTGAATGTAGAAAAAAAACTTACTAACACATATTATAACAATTGACGTAGTATATATAATATAGTATAACAAAACTGATCTTAGTGTAAGTTAGTAATGCCAAAGTGCAAGTAAGTTAACTTTAGGTCTAGAATGTAATATTAGTTGTAAGAAAAAGCCCCCCCTCTAGCTGCTTAAGCCGCAAGGCAGCAGCAAAATGTATAAAAATTTAAACAGAATAAATTCTCGTTCTTCACATGGTTACTGCAGAGGGAATAAAAGAAAAGAAAAAAAGAAAAAAAGAAAAAAAAGGAAAGGAATGAAAACCCTAAAACAACAACCCACCGGAAGCCCACAGTTCGAAGTGACCCCGAAGAGATCAGGTGAACCTAACTGAAATTCTCAGAAAACGTTGCAATGTCTCTTGAGTATGTAATAAAATAAGCAATCAATGCATGGCCGTTTCAGGTCAGGAGCATTTATATTCGATTTGTCTGATAGATGATTCCAAGCGCGTGAACTGCTAAAGTTATTAGTCCCGTGAGTGAAGTGCACGTCTTTATCTTTGGAGGTGGCGGTGATCTTTCTCAGCTGGATGCCGAGATCCCGCAATGAACTACACGTCGGCTACCAGGGTTGCCCCCAACCAAGCATCGCTCACCAACGCGACACCGCCCCAACCGCGACAAGCCCTTAGCTCCCGGCCGCTCTTCCGGCATGTGTGGAGGTGTAGTGAATGTAAGTCAGTATAACTAAGAAGAGACGAAAGCACAAGGAAAAGGATCAACGGTCTGTCGCCCATTTCTGAGAGTACCACTCCGGCATTCGCCTCGTGTTGATCAGAGTAACCACGGAAAACTACCGATTAGGGCATCCGGCCGCTAGAATTCTCTT